TAGAGGAGGGCCGACACGATATTAAAAGGTATCCCATGAATTTTGTCACCTCAGTGCATATTTCTTTAAAATAATTATTAAAAGTAAATGCAAAGATTTTTATTTTAAATATATCGAGAATGTAATAAGCAGTTATTTTTAAAAATGGGTAGTTAAATTTAAAAAAATTATATTAAGTAAACTTTTTAGCTTAGTAAGTATTTTTTAACAATAATTTGGACGTTTTTCAGCAATTAGTTTACATTTGTTTTTACAAAGTTTAGTTTTTCCATGATAATTTTTTTTTTTGAATTTTCCATAATAATAAAAAAGTTGTTTTTGCCCATACTAGTTCCAATACACGGGATAAAGTGAACAAGCTTCGGAACTAGTATCCACAAACATAATATCCTGCTAAGTAGTCATTTATTTATGACTCAGAAAAATATATCTGAAACTAAAATGAAATTAAATTCAATATAATATATATATATTAAAATACAAATTTCTAATAGAGTATTTCACTGCACTAAGAAAGATGATATTTTGAATGCAAATCCACAGATTTGAAAAACATTATTCAATGTGATTTTTTTTAAATATATATTTTTTTTATTAATAATGTATTAAGAAGCAGTCCTGATAGTTCTACCAATAACTGGTAATGGTAGTTCGGAAACTATTTCTTTTCTTGAGATTTAAGATATTTTCCTCTCTCTCTCTAGAAAAAAGAAAGATTCATTTCTAGAAGAGTTAAGTCCATCTTTTTTTTCTTAAGAATTAAACATCATAATCCCATATCTATAAATTTCCACTCAACTAACATAAAGCAAAACACTATTTCTTCCTTTATTTTTTTCTTATTTTTTAATAAAAAAAACTTTATTAGCACTAAGTTTTTAACACTTATTGAGTCAGCGTTAAGAAGTTTCAATTTATTTATATCGATCTGATATCATTGCAATTTAAAACATAAATAACCGAAGTTGCTAACATATCAATGAAACAGTACACACTAACCACTAAACAGAGCAAAAGTTTATATTCAAATCGATAAAAAAAAGTATCATTTATAAGATATCACACTGAACTCCCCTTGTAGTAATTGGTGACTGATGCACGTTAAAACTGTCGGGTCACTAAGTCATCCATGTTCGCATAACAGATTATTCTTTCTGGTACTGGATTAAAGATCGATCAGTCTAAGGTTAAGGTAAAAATTACTATCAACGGATGTATGAATCAATACAATCAATGAAGGGTTCCACCCTATAAGCTGGTGTTAGGTATGGGTGTATCAAAAGTCAAATTCTTGGACATAGATGGCGCCACTNACTTTTAAGGGCCCTTAATTTTCAAAATAAAAACTAAGCAGTTTTTAAGGACTTTTAAGGACCGTGGGAACCCTGAATTCTTGGACATAGATGGCGCCACTAGAACACAAGAATGACCGCACCCCAAGTGTCCTAATAGCCTGCGGCAACAACATTTATAACATGTCACCTTTAGTTAAAATTCTGAAAATAAAATACATTAATAAAAGAGTAAAGAGAAAATTTGAGTTACTTTTGCACCTTAAATAATTTCACAAAATTATTATAAAGTATTCCCTGTGTGATTATGCAACTGTACATGGAAGTATACACCAGTGCTGCCAGTTTATGAAATCAAATGAACAATAAACATAAAAGTTACTCAAGATGGTCACTTTGGCCCCATGTCCACACTAATCCCGCTCTCCTCTATAATAATGAATTAAATTTCTCCCACTTTTTTGTTTTAAAGGCAGATCTATCCTCATTGGTCTTTATGTTCTGCTTTAAATTCACTCAGCTTCAAACGGTAAAATATTTATTTCAATAATTCATTTAATTGTGGACTGTTGTGTTACTTAATTTTTACTACTGGGTTGCAATACTTGGGAGGTGCATCTCTCATAAAGTAGGAAACGACAAATTTTTTAAAACACCAAAAATCTGTTAATTATGAGAAAATTAATGTTTTAATACCATGTCTATGAATTTTAATAATTTTCTGAAGGAAAAAATATCATTTTTAGTGGTAAATTAATCATTCTTAAACTTTTACAAGTAACAAAAGTTTCCAGTTCAAGAATGTAACATTTAAGCAATTAAGGTACTTAAACGTAGTTAAGGTGCTTTTAAATTTAAATAACCCTTAGTTATTCAAAATTTAAAAAAATTTCTTTATTTTATCACTTTTTTTTTGAAAATATCAATGAAATTTCCAATGATTAAATATCCGTTTATAATTTTTAACAACAATTTTATTTTTAATCTTTTCTTGGGTGTGATACAAAAGTTTTTTTTTTCCAACCATAAAGTGTACAAAATCTAGAATAACAATAAAAATTTAAATATTATCACATAGTCATGAAAATTAAGCTTTCTGCACATAAAAACTTTCTTGTACAATATTTAACAAAGCCATATTTATTTACAGTCAAAGATGTGTAGTAATTTACATAATAAATAAGTACAATTTACAAAATATCCTAGATTACAATTTAAATAACACAATTTCAAGTGATTAAAAAAACTCAGAAGTTTCCTCAAAATCTGCAGAACCAGTTTTGTAGGATCAGATTCAACTAAACCTTCAGATTCAACTAAAAATGCAACCTTTTGAAAGTTGAGCTAATATTAAATAAACTTTAATAAAAACTTAATATAAAATAAATAATAAATAAAACATTGGACTTTAACAAACACTAACTAAAATAAATCTAACATCACAACCCCCTCTAGTCTTTACCCTTAAAAAGTGACATTGAAAGGAGATTTTCATGTGGGCAAAAAATAAATCTAAAGTGCAAAAAAAAAAAAAAAAAAAAAAAAAAAAAAAAAAAAAAAAAAAAAACTATGGTACAAATGTAAATTTTAAAGGACAAACACTTTCTTCTGATACTTTTTTTTAAATAAAAATTATCCCACCAAGTTTTAGACAAAATTATACATAAATATTCAAATTATCCCAAAAGTTCTTGATTTAAAATGACTTTCTTTATGAACTGTGAAAATTTTCCAGACAAGAATATAAAAAAGAAAATCTATATGTATTAAGATAAATATTGATTCCTTTACATAAATAAATGCTATCTGATTTTTTTTAATACAAATTTCATTGTTTTACAATAACTAAGAATTCTTTTAAAAAAATAATCTCAATGAAAATATTAAAAATGATTTTGTGTCGTCCCAAGTTGCAAAAGTAAACTTGTTTTAAATTTAAAAACAAGTGAAAACAAAATATCTCATAAATTCAAATGCCAAGATATTCAAATTATTCTTTCAAATTATTTATTTAAAATTACTTTCTTCATGAGCTATGAAAATTTTTCAGACAAGAAATTTAAAAAGAAAAACATATATATCGAGACAAATATTGATTCCTTTACATAAGTAACTGTTTCTTTGATTTTTTTTTTAATAATTTCATTGCTTTACAAAAACTAAATGAAAATCTTAATGAAAAAATTAAAGCTATTAAATATATTTCATGCCTACTGGTGATGCAAAAATAAATTTGCATTAAATTTTAAAAGAAATATACCAACAAAAATTCTAAACAGAATTTCACTTGGAAACTCGGAAAACTCAACAAACTGGTGTTCGAAACATTTTTTCACATAATTAAATGTTGTGTTAAAGAAAAATTGTTTGAAAACTTAAATAGAAAAAACTTCCTTCACAAGATGCTTTAAACTTACTTTCATGCTAATTTTTTTTAAATGTTGAAAAATAGAATAAATAATACTTTTAAAAACTGCATTAAAAAAATATAATATATTCATATATATATATATATACATATAGATTTGCATGCAGAAGTGGTCGAAACAAACATAGCTAGCGCGATATGATTTATTATGCTTGACGTAATTAAACTATTGACTTCAATATGAACTTAATGACATAGTAAATATGTCAGCAATTGAAATAAAGTTGCCATTAAACATGTGTTCACATATAGTAAAATCAAAGCAATTTGAATTCATATTGATCTACCATCAAAATAACAAATTCAACTTAAACAAAATAATTACCACATAAAATATATGCTTAAATATACAGTTTAATATGTAAGATAAAAATTAAAGTTCTTCAGTCAAGATAATAAAATTGCCATAACTTAACAATATCAAGTTTTTAACAAATAAGAAATTTAACTATGACCCCATTTTATTTAACAGATAAGTACTTCTTAGAAAAATAAATCAATACAAATTGAAACTTTTAAGTACATACTTTCAGTAACTCCACATTCATCAAAAATTGAAATACAAATAGGAAATCTAATGGCAATCACATTTAATAATAAAAATAAATACTTCTAAATAAAGCTTTAAAGCAAACAAACACAAATTTAATGTTAAAGTGCATGCTTTTGGCTAATTTATTTCAATCCTAAGTTGAAACAGCAAATAAGAAGTAAAATTGCTATCACAATTCCTGATAAAATTCAGTACTTCTAAATAAATTTCAGAGTAAATTAATATCAGATACTGTTGAATAATTCTTTTAATGGACAGAGAACCTGTATGTAACTTGACAAAAAAGGGTACTTTTTTTTTAGTTTGATATTTATTAAAAAAGAAGTTTTTGTTTTGTAAAAATAAATCAACAGTCTTATAAAAATAAAAGCAAGTACAAACTAATGAGCAAATCATTTCAAAAAAGGCAAGAATCACTTTTTAAAGTGAAAACATTTTTTCGCACCTGTATGAAAATTTTCTCAATCAGAAAATCTGCACTATATTTGGCTAACTTTATAAATTAATGTAACAAAAAAAAATGAACACATAACTTTACAAAAGAATGACTAATGCATTTTTTTTTTTAAATTTTGTCTAATAACTGAAATTCTTTTTTTAAAAAAATCAACATTGTTATATTTAAATAGAAATAAACATAAGTGTGCATTAAAACAATTTTTAAAATAGGAAAGAATTAGTTTAATTTTTTAATTAAAGTCAAAACACATCTTTCATCCTTTTAAAATTTTTATCACTAATTTCGACAGCACAGATCTCATTCTTCCAACCAGACTTCCCCATTCCAACAAAAAATAACATTTTTGCCTAAAATTTCAAAATAAAAACAAACTCAGAGTTGATAAGTTTTTTTAAATATCTAATAAAATATTACACACGGAAATATTCACGGAACACAAAGCTCATTTCTCAAACACCCAATCACATTCAATATTTTAATCCAGAATTCAAAATAATAAACTTAATTAACATGCAACTAAAAAAATTTAAAAAAATAAATAAAATTTAAAAAAATTAATATTTTTGACCAGAATTCAATAACAAAATTATTATCAAAATGACTAACACAATAAAGCATAATAAGTAAAATTTATTACTTTATAATCTGACTAGCCTTATCTGACCTTTATCTTTTTAATATCGTTTACATATTTTAATATATATATTCGTAATTTCATTTTATAAAATAATGCAATTCCTGTTAAGGAAGTAGACAATACTTTAAGAGTGAAAAAAAAAAAGTTTTTCCAGTGCCTGCAAGTGCCTTAACCTCTCCCTAACCATAATATGCTTCCAATATATTACTGTGGTTATGGAGTTAATTATAGCAACTTTATGAGTTTAAATAATTTAGTTTTAAATTTTCAATGTTTTTAAGTTATGTTTCGTTGCTTTACGAGAAACAAAATTACTTTTTAATAGTCATGGCTTTCTTACTTTTATATATTCCTACACAATGCTTTTTAAACACAGTAAACAAAAAGACATTTTTAAACAATTTTAAAGTAACTGAAGAATAGTTATTATAAATAAAATCAGTTAAGGGTTACAGAATACATTTTTAGGATATATACAGTAGAATCTCAATTATTTAAACTTAATTTATTCAAATACATTTTGCATACCAAAGTTGATACTGAAGATTTTTTTTTTTTACACACATAAACATTGTCTTTCTCTTTTGCCCTCTTTTAAGCATTCATAAACTTAGCTTTCTGATTTCCCATATTAGTTGACTATTTTAAATAACTGCTACAGAGTTGCATTCAAGTTAATATCATGACTACTGAAGTTTTAAAAAAAATTTTAGTAGTTTTAAAATCATATTACATCCATTTACAGTGTTTACTTATGGAAGTGGGAAATTAGAATTTTGAATCTTTATAAACTAAACATTCTGATAATCCTAAGTTTTTTTTTTGGTCATAATTACTTCAAATAATCAAAATTCTACTGCATATATTAAATAAATAATTTAAAATAACAATTATGCGCACTAACTTTAAAAATTTGGCTTTTCACAATTACGAAGAACACAATTATGTTACTGTTTTCCCAATTACATAGAATCCCTACTTCAGATGTTAGCTCCTTCATCTAATAATTTAAGATACACAAATTATTTAACATTTAAACAGAGGGTACACACTGGTAACATTAAAACAGTCCACAACCAGATGAAATAATTTACAATTTACAGAAGCACAGTTCACCAACTTTAGAGCACCAAAAACTCCAAACATGATTTTAAAAAAATCCAACATTGTATAAAATCTACAGTATAAAAACACAAATTTTATAATTTTTTTGAAAAAGAAATTTGGATAAATCAAAACCATTCATTTTCTGGCAAACTTGGCACTTCATTCATTTGTCCATATTACAGTAAACCCTCCTAATTCTAGATAATCATAGAATCTCTGATTTGTCTATTGACTACAAATTTAATTTAGAAAATGTGTCATTTATATATTAATGGGAAGACAAATAAATGGTAATTATAAATTTAACCACTTTTTTTAAAAAAATTATAATAAACTCTATTTAATTTATAATTCAAAAAAAAAATTAAAAATATTAGTTACTTGAGTACATCAAAAACAGAATCTCTGCACATTTTAAAATAATAAATATGTGTGTGTGTGTTAATTTGTGGTCAAACAATCATAATTACAGTCATTATACATTTAAAATGAACCTTTTTAACTTGAATAGATTTTTTAAAATTTCCCACAAAATAAAAATAAGAGTGTTGTTGCATTTTAAATGACATTGATTATAATATTTAGTGACCTAGAAATGATAATAACAGATAATTGAATATTATACACATTGCAGAAATAGCTCTTTTTTTAAATGATTAACTTAGTATTTACTGACAAAACTTTACCATTGGGAACTAACAAAGGTAAAAAAAATAATGTCCCTCTCCCAACAGGAGGCATATTTTTTAAAAAGATTAGGAACATAACTATAAAGCACTCATAGTTATGCTAATAATGAAGATTTTACTGTATTTGTCATGTACAAATTGAAATTTAAGCATGTAATATTTATGTAAATAAATACAAACTTCATATTAAAATGTCATTTCCATACATTTAAAAAAAATGGCTAACATAAAAGAATGACTAGTTTTAATATTTCAATACATAAAAATGAAGTTGGATTTATGCCAATAAGAGCTCCAAATAAAATCCAAAGAACTTTATGAAAATAGTACATATAAAATCTGTCAATATAAATATCTACATGAAATTTGCAGAAAATGAAAATAGAAATTAGTCCCAAGTACCAAGGCATTGTACAATTATGAATATATACTTATATATTGATTTGAATTAATCAGGTATTTGATTTGTGGTGACACGATTGATTTAGTTCTAGAGCAAACATTTCAGGTTTCTGATTAAAATATTCATCTATTCTCTCTTTAGCATACCTGTAACAATAAGAAAAAATAAATGTGAGATTGATTAGCAATTTCCAAATAGATTTTTTTTTAAAAAAATTACAAAGCATTCAAATTTATCATCTAGTTCAAAAAATATTTTTAACACTATCTCAATTACAAAAAGCTCATTTTATTAATCATGAAATAACTTATAGCTAAATTAAAATATTTTATGTCAATGAGAAAATACTTCTTTTGTTACTGAGAAAATATTTCTAAATTAAATAATTATTTCTAAACTACACACAACATTAAAATCTCAAAAATCTTGAACTTTAGAAAAATAATTATCTTTCAAATAAAATTATGATCTAATAAATTATGATATGTATAATTAACACAAACCTGGAAATTACATTAAATGGAAATAAATACATTAAATTTTCATAAACACAATTTGTGAACCAGTTCTTATTAAACTAACTAGAATAGATAGGGGGGGGGATAAGTAATCAAAAGTATAGTCCCAAAATTTTATTAAGTCAATAATTTTTATACAATATTCTTATAAACTTAGAAAGTACAAAGAGGGAAAATTTCAGCAGGTAATTTGCACCACATCATATAATTGGTGGTTATTCCTTTAGTGCAGCCATCTACTTTTATTTATGATAGATAAAAAAATAAATACACATTATAACTTAAATATACACTTAAAAACTGTGGAAAATCTTAAAATTCTGGTACTAAAGATACTAATTGTGCAAAAACATACATATAGTTTAAAATATTTCTTCATAGAATTTTAAGAGTTTTTTAAATTTTTTTTTAATAAATTTATAACACAGAGAAACACTGTCAACTTTATTACAAGGCTCGAGAGGCCCCTCTAAATGTTACAAATTATTTCTTTTTGTGTTTTCCTAAATATTGTCTATTAGAATGAATGGATGATTACAAAAAGATATTAGCTTAATATTTATTAATACAGGGTGCATAGACAAATTATTCAACAAAAAATAAGCACCTTTTAAGCACTTCTCAAGCACTCAAAAAATATTTTTATGTATAGGGTTAGAAAGTTTTTGACAATTGACGGTTTTATCTTGTTTTAACCGTCATGTAAAAAAAAAATAGCATTGTTTTTGACAATTGTCAAAAATCATAAAGTTTTGAATCATGTAAAACGAATGATGTTTTCATACGCTACGGACTAACAATAGGCCAAATAGATTGAGGTTGAATAGAACAATATGAACTGCGTCTTTTTGCATAATTCGAAACAAAAATCAACATGGTAAAGGAAAAATTTCATTTTGAAAAAGGGAAAGTTAAGCACTTTTTGAAAAACATCTAATGAAAAAAGCACCTTTAAGGGCTTTTAAAAAACAAAAATAAACACCGTTAAGCACTTTTTAAAAACGCTACGCACCCTGTAACAGTATATCCTAATTTATTTAAGTTATAAATAACTTATAAACACTTCATTATGAAACACAGGTAAATTTCGTTTAAAGTAACAACCAGGAGGCCCCTATCTTCTTGATTATGCCTTACTCAAGCATTTAAAGTTTAAGTTCTTTCTCAAAAAAGATTAAAAATTAACTTAAAAAGAATCTTGCATAGAAAAATAAGAATAATTATGCATTCATTATATATCCTATGTGTAATTTATGCTGTTCTTAGTTATACAAAAATTATTGCTTACCCTAAAAAGTCAAAATCAAGAGTGGAATGTGCTGATTGAAGCAATGCCCAAAGGCCCCAAAGTAAATGTGCAGCCTAGAATAAAAACATATTAGGCAAAAATAAAATTATACAGAAAAACAATCTTTATAAATCAATACGGGTTACTTGAAACAAATTTGAAATAAAATCTAAGTATTCTAAAGTAGCTAATTTTGTCAACAAATATTAGTTACACAGTGCAATATAATGCTAACATAAATATAGAAAACCAAATGCTAACACAGATTGCTATTTAAAATAAAATATAAACATAAATTTTTAATAACATTATTTTTCAATTAAATGTATAAGAGGTAACAACTGTCAATGTAGGTTACAGTATTTATAAATAACAATATTTATTAAAATGCCAGTTACCCGGCAGAATAGTTAATAACATTTTATTATAAAATGATTTGTATATTGGATCTGTACATTGAAAATGAAGATAAAAGATAAATTAAGCACTTTGTCAATAAACATGACAAATAAAGAATTTTAAATATCCTAAATTACTTTTCATTATACTAAGAATGAAAAAAAGGCAACGGCTTTGTATAGAATATGCATAAATTTTGATAGTTATTGTAATAGCAGTATGAATTCTATTACAGTATCAATCATTGCTGATAGCCTATTGTGCAGCTCTAGTGAAACATAAATAAAGTACTTACCTATTATTAACATATTTAAAATATATAATTCTAAAAAATTTTTAAAAAATTAACATTGTAGGCATTTATTTAAACAGAAATGTTTAAAGAGCTAAATTAGAAACTAAAAAGAAAACTCTTTGTACTACTGAAATGGAAGAATAAAATTTCCTCATTTTTAAGAGACATTTAAAAAAAATTTCAATCTAATGACAGTATATGCATAAGACAAAACATATAATGAACCACAAAAAAATGAATATTCGCCATTTATATCTTTTATTTTAACTGATGCCAAGCGGGAAAAAAGAAGCTCTTGCACAGGAAATGTGTTCCTTGAGAAATGTTGGTGCAAACATTGCACGCATCACCAAATCAGGCTCTCCGACTTTTCCAGATTTTGACTCAAAAATGTAAAATTCCTTGATCTTTTGGAAATTTTCCAAATTTCATGACTATCCAGGTTTCCCAGATTTTTCACGCAGCATAGCAAACTTGTTTATATTAATTCTAGACAATACTGAATTTAACGTGTTTAATGTGTGGAGCTTTCAGAAGTAACACTATCAGGCTATGTCATTAAATATTGTTAAAATGTTAACAATTGAAATGGGAGATAGAATAACTTGTCCTAATACTGACCAGAGCAAATTTGTTGACTTGAACATAAAGTGCTTCCACAGTCTCTTCTGTCACATTATCAAGACTCCATTCATTGGCTTGATGCCAAGCCACTAAATATTCTTTCAAAAATCGTACCTGAAACTCTTTATTAGGATACAATGTTGGTTCAAACTTTTCCACCCCTAATTAAGAAAAATGCAAGAACAATATTAATATATGAAAAACGTGTAAGAACAATGTAGGAATGGCATTAAGCATTAGATACTATATTACTGTAAAAAAATTAAAAAAAACATTGATGTAGGGTACAGTGTGCAAATGTATACAATGCAGTGGCACTGAACCTTAAAACAAACCATTGATGTAGGGTACAGTGGGTGAATGTATACTGGGCAGTGGCACTGAACCTTAAAAAAACATACAGGGCGAATGTATACCAGGCAGTGGCACTTAAGTACACCTAGTATATATTTCGGAAATTTAAAAAAGCAACCAGGTGATTGTCAATATTCACCAGTGGAAGTCTACAACCACTCATTTCGGTTAATCACAGTAGCAGATATATATTACAAAAAAAAAAANAAAAAAAAAAAAAAAAAAAAAAAAAAAAAAAAAAAATGCGGTGTTAAGAAGTCATAATTTTATTAACTGTGCCAGAGCTACAAATACATAGAACCCTTAAAAAAAATAGCACAAAGAAAACAAGAAGAGAACACAGAAAACAAAAAGTTCCAACGTAATTTCAGAAAGGAAAAAAAATTCACTGACTAGGCATTTCAGGAAAATTTCAATGTAAATCCAGACCGTATTTTATCGATGCCATACAATTTTTGAACAGAAAATTTTAATTTATTTTATTTGTAATGTCAAATATTAGATTTTTTGTCCAAAATATATTACTGAATGAGGATGGAAACATGGAAAATTTTCATTAAAATGGTACCATTTTCACATCAAATAATTGGAATAGATATTAGAATTATTGAAATCAAATCCACTAAAGACAGACTCATTTCGTATATGATACTGTGGACTATGAAGAAAGAATTGAGTAATCACACTAATGTGATCACAGTTCGAAAGGGGTTAGTATTTAAAATAAAAAGCATATATGAATAATGTTAAAAAATAAAAAAAGCATTTAGCAACATAGTGTAATTTTTAAGTACAGAAAGGAATTATATTAACAATATAGGAAAAGCATTTACCAAAGTCATGTAAAAAAAGTGTTATACACATACGCAATACATGATTCCTGAGGGGGAGGGAATTCATTACATCAAAAAATATCTTCAGGACCTTTTTTATAACAATTTGCTTTCTATATATTTTTTATACAGCAATTATTCAATTTATACAAATGTTACAGAATGCATTTTCACTCATGTCAAATGTAAAATATTAAATACAGCAAATTTTTGATGAACCAAAATTTTTGATGAACCAATCATTAACCATATATACTGCTATTTCATTGTATGAAATGTTAGTGACATGCTTTTCTGAAGCATTATACATTATTCAAATAGACATATTGAATAATAATTTGTTGCAAATCTTTCATTTATTATTATTTTTCTATGCAATTAGACATTCTGCACAGGGCCATTTGGCAGTAAAAATTCATGTAAGTCTAAAAATAGATTCAGTATAGTATCAAACAATTATAAATTAAAATCCCCTATTCAGCTTTTCACATAAAAAAATCATGTGAATATGTGAAATGTTGATGACACGCTTTTCTGAAGCATTATACATTATTGAAATAAACATATAGTATAATAATATATAACAAATTTTTCAAGTATTGTTATTTTTCTATACGATTTGACATTCTGCATTCTATTTTGGTAGTAAAAATTCATCTAAGTCTAAAAATATATTCAGAATATAATTTAACAATTTTAAATTAAAATATCTTTTTCAGCTTTTCTCATAATAAAAAAATATCAAGTGAAGACAAAATAATAACTTACAATAAATTTTTTCAAAAAGAACAAAAACACAATACAATTATTTACATAAAAAGGCATTGTATTACTCAATAATTCAAATTTAAGCTTTTACATTTTGTGTCTGATGTTGAAAAAAAAATCAGTTTAGATTTTTTCAACTTATTCTCAGCTACGGTTTTATCATCGTGACAAAGCATTAGGAGAAATCCGGAACAAAAAGTTTCCTTTAACTTGGTATTTACACTATTATTGTTTATCAAGTCAGCTTATCAATCACTTTCTACTTCTTCAAAAAGTTTGAAAATGTTCAATTTTTTTATTGAGACAATTTCAGACTGAGTTATTTTGAATTACCTATGCTAGAACATTAAGCTTCGTTTAAACTAAATTTCTACTCATTTCTTCATATAAACTAAATTTCAACTTCTTTAATCAGTCTGAAAAATTCTTTGTTTTTTTCAACAAAAAAACTGGTTGTTAGCCCTTTGCACAAGCCCTTCAATTGTTATTACGTGCATGATACATTAAATGTCTATTTCTCTCAATTCCCTCAAAAATCTATGTTTTTTTTATTGTTTTTTATGCATTTCTACATAGTTTTACAAAATCTAAAATTTTTAATGAGGTTTTATTATGAGACACTAGTTTCGAATTTGAGTTATCATACTTTATGTGCTTAGTTCGAGACGATTTTATAATTTCCGAATTTGTAATGCTTATACTATCATTTTTCAAGAGTTTTATACTTATTTTTTTTCTTTTTTAAATTTGGATATTTTTAATATATTATGATACACAAAATTGAGTACTCACTTTTTGACACACCTGATTTCTGGGGGTTCCATTGTAAATCCCCCCTTTCTTTTGTAATCAATTCCATTTTAGCCATTTACACATGCTTTCTTAAATATTGATGTTTTTAATATGAGGCAATCAATTCACAACAATTTCATTGCAAATCTACATCACTTACAGACTCTTTTATTGCTGGTTATACATCATTTGTTTAACCATTTCCATGTATTTTATTTTTTTAAAATCAATATTTTTAATATGAAAAGAGTTGTTGTTGTTACTGTTAATTTACGTCGCACTAGAGCTGCACAATGGGCTATTGGCGACGGTCTGGGAAACATCCCAGAGGATGATCCGAAGACATGCCATCATAATTTTGATCCTAAGCGGAGGGGATAAATATGAAAAGAGAGTTTCAAAATTTGACTAATCACTTTCAATGAGCTAGGTTCACATTCTATTGCACATTCAAAATATTTTCTGTTATTATCATTCTCATTTCCATGTAGCTTATCAAATGTTGATGTTTTTAATATGTTATTACAACACACGAATTTTGAATTTGGAGTATCACCTTTAACCACTCGGTTCACAACCATTCCATCATAAAACCACACAGTTTTCTAAATGTGTTTTTCAGCAGTTATTTATCATTTTATCGTTTTCCCATAATTTTTTTAAATTTAATTATCATTAATATGTTATTATGACATGCAAATTTCAAATTTGAGCTATCACTATGGAAAGCATTTCAAAAGAAAAAATTTAATGACTTTCTCATTACTTTCATGACACTTTTTCAAATTACATGATTTTCGCGACCTATGGACACTTTGGAAAAACAATTCAGAATGATTATGTTATGAAAAATTTTTGCCTTTTTCATTACTTTTATTCTTTAATTTATATTTTATAAAAGTTTTTTTTTTAAAAAAAAAGTTTAAATATAAGTTTTAGCTATAACATTCTAAAATTTCATTCGATAACTTTCAATCACCATCAATATTTAAATCAATAAAGAATATAATTACCAGCAAATTCACAAAAATGATTCCCAATATCTAGAGCTTGATAACTATAATCAGCATATTCATAATCAATGAATGTTACTTCATCTGTAAATAAATAAATATCCAAAAATGTACCACTTATTATTGAATGAGAAATTTATTTAAGAAGAAATAGTTTAATTAAACATCAATAATTTAAAGATTTCTGCATTTTCTCAATAAATTTTAGATTTTGGACTCTTAAATTTTGACAAAGAAAAGAATAGCTCAGTGAAAAAATTCTGGATTAGTTTTTAAACCCAAATATTTTAGCGCTAAGCATTTTATCCGAACTGTTAACACAACAAGCATAATAAATAAAGAGATTGAAAACAGATTCCATCACTATATTGTTAAAGGCATTAAAGCAAGTTAATATAGTTAAGGGAGGTTTTCATAGAAAATTTCTTAAATATGTTGAAAAACAAATGTAAATAAAGAGGTTTTTTCTCTTTATTGATTAAAAACTGTAAATTGCTATATTTAGAAAAAGTTAAAATAAGTAAGTATTAAGCATTAAGTAGAGACATGATGTTTATTTGTGTTGATTTTCCGCTTTTGGTTTTGGCAATGGAATATGTTTTTAAGTAGGTTTTTTGAAATTTATATTACCCTTTGCAATTAGTTCATGTATTTTGTATTAATTTTGCTTTTGTACTTTGTTTTTGTATTCACTTTATTCTCATTATTATATTTTCATTGCTTTCTTCTTTGTTTACAATCTGATATTCTAAATAAAGGTTTTTTTCTCCTTATTCATTAAAAACTGCTAATTGCTAGACTTAGAAAATGTTGATGTATCAAAAATAACTCATAAAAAACATACAGAAACTTCCCACTTGCTTTTTAAGTTTACATATTTGTTTGAGCTTGTTATGTTGTAGCGAGCAACGCCCTCTAGTTAAAAAGAAATTGACAAGTAGTTGTAGTTTGTCGTTCGAAGCATTCGAACCTATCGTGTGTTCAATGTTTCATTTTGGATTTTGTAATTGTTTCGTAATAATAAAATTGTTATTTGTTTATAAGAACCAGCGACCTAGTTATTAGATATTACATTTTGGCCCTTAAACCGCAGGGAATTTCGTTATTTCGTTCGTTGCATCTGCAAAATAATACTTTAGAATGGCTACAATAGTAGCGTTAAATAGAAAAAAAGGTTCGCTTAAAGCGCAACTGACTCGTTTAGAAAGTGCCATAACTGATGGTACAGTTATTTGGACTAAAATAAAATTAGAAACAAAACTAAAGGCCCTTGAAAAGATATCCAGTACTATAGAAGAACTCAGATCGGATTATTACACTTCTGTACCGGAAGACGAGGACATGACAGACATCGAAAACTCGTTAATAGAATTGGATACTCGCATAGAAGAGCTAGAGGTAAGCTTTAATCAATTATTAATAGATGATGCTAGTAATTCATCAGAAAACACTAGTTATTCATTAGAAAACAAAACTAATGTTTGTAAAATTAAGCTACCTGAAATTCCACTTCCGCTATTTAATGGTAAATATGAGGAATGGAATATGTTTAAAATAGAATTCGATAACATTGTAACAAATAATAAAGATTTGTCTGATGTACAAAAATTGCATTATCTTCATGCCGCATTGAGAAATGAAGCTAAGTTGTTAGAAACACCAGAAGATACCTTTGAATCGTTGTTTAAAGCATTAAAAAATAGATTCGAAAATAAAAGAATTATGGTAAACATTCACCTTAAATCTATTTTAGAATTCGAAAAAATAATTCGTGAATCATCTATAGATCTCAGACGTTTAATCGATGTCATAAATAAAAACATTAGAGCTTTAAAAAATTTAGGATTNGAAGATGCAAAAAATAATAATGACTGTTATGTTATCCCTCACCATTCTGTGTATAAACCAGAAAAGAGTAGCACGAAGTTACGCGTTGTATTTAACGCATCGATGCCTACGACGTCAGGTTTGTCGTTGAATGACATTCTCTTAAAGGGTAAAATACCGCAACAAGACTTATTTTCGATTATGGTTCGCTTTCGGAAACATCGATATGCATTTACTGCAGATGTCCAGAAAATGTATAGAATGATTCAAATAAATCCGTTACAACGAAGATATCTTCGAATTTTGTGGAAGAATAGTTTCGATTCTTCTGTGGAAACATATCAGTTAAATACGGTTACTTATGGTACATCAAACGCTCCTTATTTGGCTACTCGTACACTGAAACAACTAGCTCTTGATGAATGCAACCACTTACCTCTAGCATCTTCAGTTGTTCTAAATGATTTCTATATAGACGACGTTCTTTCGGGTGAATCCACAATCGAAGGGACTAAACTTCTTCAGTCTCAACTTGTAGAATTGATGAAACGAGGAAAAATTAACTTGCACAAATGGGGTGCAAACCATCCTGAACTGCTTGCTTTCGAAAATAAGGGCATTCGAACCTATCGTGTGTTCAATGTTTCATTTTGGATCTTGTAATTGTTTCGTAATGATAAAATTGTTATTTGTTTATAAGAACCAGCGACCTAGTTATTAGACAGTACAATATTCTTCCATTGAACAATAGGTTGTAAAAATCCTAGGTTTTATTAGAAAAACTCAAGCAACAAGATTTATTCTAAGTTTTACATGACAACACTGAATAAATAGTGCAGGATTGCTAGCAAAATTAAATACAATAAATTAATTACAACTATCAGAACTACATAAATGTAATTTTAAGCAAATACTTATCATAGATAATTTTAAACAAATAAATAAAATCTAACCATTTTACTAAATGAAGAAATAATTTTTAAAAAGAAAACATAGTAAAAGTGGAAGGAAAAAAATGTTCTTCATTGATTGTTTCTTACACTTCTTGTGTTAGCTTTATTCAAATATTTAACTTGAAAGGTTTAGAGAAAAAAAGTTCTAACTTTTTTTTCCTTATAAAAACCAACAAAGATTTATTTCCCTTAGCTTATGAAAAACCACAACAACCATGAGTAATTACAAAAAAAAAAAAAAATATTTACATAAAATGCTTTATTCTTTACTGCTCTAACTTTTCCCTCTAAATAAATAAGTGACATTTGAACCCATAATTTTAACAGATAGAAAGTACAGAAAACTACTCTTTTAGTCATTGTTATGACTTCTTAAAAAGCAAAATTAGCATAAGATTTTTCATTACAGACAAACATTTTTAAACTACGAAGATTCAAATTAAGAAATTAGGAAGGACTAAATTTATGATTGCTTGTGAGATGTTATAGGTATAGGTATATAGAACTACATCAGTTACATAATTTACAGATGATGAGGTAATTAAAAAATATGGCTTGAATTTTAAAAATAAAGGTTAAGGTTTTCTTAAAAATAAAATTAGCTATTTTGTTTCTGCTTCATGTAAACATATTTCCTTTTAATTTATTAATATAAAATTGCAATTATAATTACAATTTATTCCAAAAAAACATTAAACTGTTGCACATTCTACCTATAAATAGCAATAAAATGTGCTTATAAACAGTTAAAATTTACTGTACTAAATGTTTATACAGTCAAATTTAATTACAGATAAAAAATAAAAAAAACATGGACTTAAATTTAAAAAATAATACCTTTTTCCTCATTAAAAATCACATTTTTTAACAGCAGATCATTATGGCAAAACACAACAGGAGATCCCAGTGTCATTAAATGCTCCTTCAATGAACTAACTTCCTCTTCCAGAACTTCCTTTGAAGGAATGCAGCTCTTAAACCTAATACAAACATAATAATGTATGAAACATTAATTTATATTTTCATTTAAATAACATTACAAGAAAAAATTTATTAAAAAATGCAGATAAAGATGAGAATGAAAACTGATGTTAACACAACCATCTTGATCATTGTGTAAGAAAACGTAAGTATTTCTAAATGAACTTCAATAAAATTTTTATCCTTGTGTGAGACTTTGTGAGTTCTATTTAAATTATAGCTTTAAGTTATTGTAAATACATAATAATAAGACTTCAGATCTTTTTGCTTATTAGTACAAGTCAGGTGGAAAAATGAAACTAAACATATTTTTTACTTTTCTAGTAAAAAAGTGATACAAAATCAATCACTAGCAAAAATAATCGATACATATTTATTTGTAAAGTTATTAAAATTAAATATTATTCATATAATTGTGACAATCAACTATAACAAAATTCAAAATAATATAGTAGCAGCTTATGTAATGTAGATCACAGTTCTGTTCCTAAACAATATCTTTCTTTTTTTCTTCTTTCTTTAATGCAATGAACACACTAGGTCGTTCTTTCATTATGACTAGAAATAAAGTAAATAATTGTTTAAAAATATTTAATATTATATCGATTCTATTGTTTCAACTTTATTATAAATGGAATCGCATTAATCTTACATTGGCTTATCCTTAGAGTTCACACCAACAATGAAAATTTAGTGGTCCAATAAGAACACCTAGGTATTCACTTAGTGGTACAAAACATAATATGGTAGACAAACTTTAGAAGAAAAAAATGTATGTAAAGCACAATATGTAAATTTGAAATTTCAATGTTTAAAAAGATTTGCACCAAGCACTTTTAGTTATTCTATTTTAATACCAGGCATTTGAATTTCATACCATGCATACAACAATAAAAGTAGTTCAATTTCTTTTTTAATGCATCAAATTCGATGAAAAATTATATTATATTTTATGGTATTAACATTAATGTGCAATATATAGAATAAAATTTATATCATGTTTTTCGATAAAGTTTTTTAATATTTTTCGTTGCATTTTACCATTTTATAAATTACCAAATATATTTAAGGCGACAAATTCATCGTCCATGCGTTTGTACAACATTTGGCAACAATTGTCGGCATACTGGCGTGATCCCAGCTTATCCTTATCTTATATCCTTATCCAAACTAACTCAGGATGTTAAAAAAAGAAATAGTCAAGTCATGCTCTGACACCATAGAAGAGCCTAAGGTAGGGTTTGTTTTAGGATGAATAGTAAATAAAGAGAAAATTCAGTCTAACAGTCAAGTGCGTCATTACTCACCCTTAAAAGAACCTTTTCATCTTTAAAGGGAGACCGACGACTAATGCAGAACCATTTTTTTTTCCCATCTTAATTTCTTATCCTTTTAGAGCTCAAACATGATTTTAGTATGAATTTTGTTTTCCAAAACTGGCTCAACATAGGTTACACATAAAATGTCATCTGTTCTATGTAACTCTCAAATACATTACTGAAAAAATTGAGACTCCAAAATTTGCAATTCAAAAAGCCTCTTGTCATCTTTGTTAGCTATATTGGCCTGAGATGTGAGCTGGAACATACCGTAAATATCATCCTACAATGTGACAGTTTATAGAAATTTTTCAATTAATGAAATCTTGCAGTTTCCACATCATTAAACTCCTGTGGAAATGTAGTATCTCAATTGGAAACATTAAACTTGTCCTTCAACGAGTCTAAACTATTCCTCCTCAGCTTTCCCTTTTGATCCCTTCTCAGTCAGATTTTTTTTTTTAAATTTAATATAACCATGTTCTATCCTAATTTCAAAAATTAAAAATATTTTTGTCAGCAATAAGTTTTTTGCTGTACCTAGTGGTGGTGATATATGTGATGTCCCGACTACTGATCTCCAATATTTGTAATGCACCCAAGTTCTATCTTAAAAAATACACTGTGATAACATATTTATTAATCTTATTGCTTTAAGGTGTTAAATATTTTTTACTTAATTTCAATAATAAAATAACTATCAACATTAGGTCAAAAATATTTTTGGAAACAATTTTCCAATCCTACCGTTAAAACAACTTTACAATCAGTCTTAGGCATCAAAACGTAAAAAATCACACCTATAACAAAACTGAAATAATTTATTACAAATTTCACGCAACGGTAACATTAATGAAAGCCAAATTACAGAAAGTACAAAATTATTTTGATTTCAATTCAAGGCGGGAAATCTCACAGCAAAGAATTGTGAAGAACTTGGGACTGGTTACGCTATCTCTTAGCAATATTGAGAAATACAAAAATAATCATTAGATTTGAAGAGACAAGTCAAGTAAGTAACAAAGAATCCAATTTCAATTATGGACTTTTTCTCTGCATTGCATGGCATGCAAAACCGACCATTCGGGCACAAAAACATTGAAAGCACGAGATGGGACGTTGACAGAGAAGGGGTTAAAAGACGAGACCAAAGCAGATGAAGAGAATATTTGATCTCTACAAAGTTCAAACATCAAATGAAACTAACACTAACATTTATTAAAAATTATTTTACATCTTTTTAAGTCTAATGTTTAATCACACAAAACTGATTTTGAACATTTTTTATTTTATTTTATTTTTTATCACTAAAACATATAAATACATAAAAAATAAGGGAAATCAAGTATAAAAACAAACAAATTAGTGATAAATATTGAGAAAAATTCATCACAATATACATTCAGCACAAGCTCAATAAAAAAGATATCCCATTTAAAATTTTAGATAATAGTAATATTCATAAATTTCATTGAGTAAAACCAAATACCTTTCATCTTTCACTGGATCAGGGAATGAGACTGGTATAAGTTGAAGATATTTATACATAATAGGAAAAAGTGAAGGCTGGGGAATCAAACCATTAATACTGGACTTAACACTATGCATTTTGGCTAATCTTTCAGCAATCAACCTAAAACAAACATATTTTAAAATAAGCACATGAAGAAAATCTACTTATTTCTTACTTACAAAGAAGAAATATTTTAACAATGTCTGCCCAAAAGCATTGTTGAGAACAAGAGGGAAAAACTTACCTAGATATGTGAGGATCTCGCACCATTTTAGTATCAAGCACTTCGCCGGGAGAAAAACCGTAACACAAACCATTAGTAAAGGCACAATGTAATGGAGCACACAATCCAGCTTCACACATCATTTGCATATTCCTCACTTCCAAGTCACGATCAATAAACAATTCTGTCTTTTCACCATAGACACGAATTAGTACAGCCTGATCTGGGTCATCTTTGAGGTAGCATTTAACCAAGTGGTTAGTAATACCATCTTTAAAAAGCTAAAAAAAATAATACCAAGTTAATTTAAAACTGAAATAAAATAAGATTAAAAAAAATATGTAACTCAGAAAATTAAATGAAAGTAAAAATTAATGGATGGTGTTTTCAACACTAGGGAACGCTGCTAGCTCCATATCGCCTATATTTCCAGGTTACTGTCTCCTGTGTATTTTAAAGCCATTTGGCTCACAATGTGATCATTGTGTTTTGAGATTCTCGAAAACGTGGTATTTGATTACTTATTACTTGTGTTTATAATGTTAAATGTAAGTAACATAAGATGGTACACAGCGTTCAACAAGAACAAATAGTAATGAATAAATGGAAAGGTCAAATCAGGACTGCCAAAAAAGCGAGTTAATCAAAATCTAGCAACCAAGCCACCTTTTTAATAATATATCTATTATAAATAACTAAAACAAATTTTCACTTCATACTCACCAGAATTACTTAAAAACATCAATATCTTATGAAATACGGCAGATTTGAGCTCAGAAATTATCTCTTTTACTTCCATTATTGAAAACAAAATTATCCGTTTAAAAAAATCGCCTCGCAAAATAAACTGTACTAAGCAGTTGCAAACTTTCTAACCGGAACTAGAGCAGGTATGGAGCTCGAGATTGTCACTGTTTACATTTATATTGAAAACATGAGAACAAGAACCAGATAAGGTTGCACTTTTACTACACTTAATTCATACTCACCTTAAATAATAAAATCAAACAAAATTGGGTTACAAATTATATCTGATCCATACACAAAAAGGATATAATGGAGGAAATTTAAATAATATAGGAAGGATATAGTACCTTAGGATCAGCATGGTTTTTTCATGAATAGATTCAATATTGCCAAGTTTTTTTTTTTTTTCAAGTATATTCAACATGCATACCAAAACATAAGATATATTACATGAAAAATATTGCTTAATTATTAAGAGAGGGATTAATAAAAGAAATGGATATGAGAGTAACTATTTCAGACATTTTCATGCTTTCTAAATGTAATGAATTGCATAATTATAAAGTTAGTGAAATGATTCATAGTAAAGCATAAGTTACATGATTAGATTACAATTATAAATAAACACATAATTTGTAATGAATGGAATTTTTAGAAGCATAGTAAACATTTATGAAATGAAATACATTCACTTTTTGTTTGCACATAGTACATTCACTAATATTTTTCAATTTATATAAATTCTTTATATGCCATGCAATGTACAAAGAATTATCAACTTTTATCTTTAACACACATTTGACTTTTGTAATAAATGAAAAATAAAAATAAAAGCATTTTCTAAGCATTCCATGTTCATAATTTAAGTTTTAATAAACAAGCAGAAATGCTTCTAAATTAATAATTATGCACAAAATTCAAAATAAACAAAAAAAATATAGTTAAGTAAGAAAATATTTTCAAAAACTATCACTTCAAATAAAAATCATTTATGACAGGTAAATTTCTGTATATTTTTCTCCATAAAAAGTTATTTTGCTATTGTAAAATTATGGGCTTAAAATTGCATCCAATTTTAAAATTCCATAAAATTTATTGTCCTTAGTTAAATTTCAACTTGAATTTGATAAAAACATGCATTTAACAGTACTAGCACTAAAAGTTATTTTCATTATGAGAACGTTTNTATGGATACAACAATACGTGCCTGGAGAATTGGCTATGGTGGTCTTTCCGCAGAAAGTGAAATTTCTCGCGTTATGAAAAGCACTCTTGATCGTCTCCAACAAGAAATGTGTACACGATTAAGTGACCATAATTTCAAATTTGGATTTCTACTAGACGTTGAAAATTTATTAAACAAGGATAATGTTGATAACGACCTTGAAAAAAAAATTTAAAATCTGGGTGAATTTTATAATACAGATTTCAATGTAATAGAACTTTTTATCAAAATATGTGACAGCAAAATGTTACTCCGCAGATGAAAAGAAATTAAACCTAAAACTCCATTAGAATTTCTTACTTTTATAATCAATCTCGAATGGAGAAGATGTTTTTCCAAATCTGAGAGCGGCATTTCAAATACTCCTGACTATCTCAGTATCAATTACTAGCTGCGAACATTCATTCAGCAAATTAAAATTAATTTTGACAGATCGCCAAAGTGACCTAGCATTTTTAAGTGTGGAAAGAGAAAAATTTTAAATGAACAATTTTGATGATATTATTGATACATTTGCTTCATCAAAAGCACGGAAAATTTAGAGATAGTAATAAGTTTTATTAATGTATTATAATCACATGATTATTAAACATATGTATCCCCTAAGAGATAATAAATATTTACTTTTTTATTGTTTTAAAACTGCGTGTTTTTAAAATATTTCTTTATAAATATGTAAAATAAATAATAGGTATCTTTTGAACTAATACTAGATGATCATATACATTTCAAAATCTAATCTTGTTCTCTCAACTACATTTTGCGTCTCAAATTTAAAGCCTAGCTTGAGTCTATGATTTTATTTATTTTACTTTATTTATTTATTAATTTGCGACTATATTTTGCATATAATATTATATGGTTTTTTAATGGGGGGCGCTAAAAGGGTATTGTGCCCCGGACGCGAGTTAAGCTCGCTACGCCACTGCAACATGCATACCAAAACATAAGATATATTACATGAAAAATATTGCTTAATTATTAAGAGAGGGATTAATAAAAGAAATGGATATGAGAATAACTATTTCAGACATTTTTATGCCTTCTAAATGTAATGAATTGCACAATTATAAAGTTACTGAAATGATTCGTAGTAAAGCATAATAAGTTATATGATTAGATTAAAATTATAAATAAACACATAATTTGCAAAGAAAGGAATTTTTAGAAGCATTGTAAACATTTATGAAATGAAATACATTTACTTTTTGTTTGCACATAGTACGTTCACTTGTATTTTTCAATTTATGAATTCTTTATATGCCATACAATGTACAAAGAATTATCAACTTTTATCTTTAACACACATTTTGCTTTTGTAATAAATGAAAAATAAAAATAAATATTTGTTTTCTAAGCATAACATGCATTTAATAAACATGCAGAAATGCTTCTAAATTAATAATCATGTACAAAAATCAAAATAAAAAAAGAAACAAAAAAATATATTAAAGTAAGAAAAATTGTCACTTCAAATAAAAATCATTTATGACAGGTAAATTTCTGTATATTTTTCCCCATAAAAAAAGGTTATTTTGCTATTATAAAATTATGGGCTTAAAATTGCATCCAATTTTAAAATTCCATAAAATTTATTATCCTCAGTTAAATTTCAACTTGAATTTAATAAAACATGCATTTAACAGTACTAGCACTAAAAGTTATTTTCATTATGAGAACATTTTCGACTAAGTCATACAGAGAAAAGTTACACAGAGAAAAAAAATTTCATAAAAAATAAAGGTCTGTTAGAATAAATTTACAATAGTGTTTAAGATAATGTTCGAATGTTCATAATAATGTTCGAATTTTGACTTTCTGTAAAGTTTCAAAGGGAGAACCCCCTTGTTTCATTTTAAAAAACTCAGCTAAAAAAAGCTTGCTTTGATTATGGTATGAGCAACTGGTTAGGTTTGCCCTATTAAGTATTTAGTGAAACTACCATTTTTCCTAAAGATGAATTTGTGAAGGTAACGCTAAACGGTAGTAAATATTATCTGCATTATTCAAAACAAACATATTCTCAACCAGATCAAAATTAAAGTTTTTAAATATTATATACAAGTAAAAAATTTTGAAAAAATATGGCAAGAAACACTTCCTTGCAAGTGTAACAACAGGAAAACCTTTTAAGAAAATGAGTACAGTAGGGAACCGATTATCCGGAACAATCGGGACCATCGTTATTCCAGATAACTGATTTTTTCGGTTTTCTGAATCGCTACAAAAAGCCGTTTTTTTTTATTGTTAAACCCAACTAAAAAAAAATATTTGGAAATAATCTTAAACAGGAGAAAAAAAGATGAAGTAATACACTAATGATTATTTCCAAAATGATGGTAAGGTAAACATCTTTCAAAAAAGAATGAAAAATCCTAAAATCTTATGAGGAAAAAAAATTATTTTTTTAAAAAATGGCGGGAAAATTTATCGAATTTCGTTTTGGTTTTTGGGTTATCTGATTTCTGGATAACGGGTTCTGTACTGTATTAATGAAAAATCTTACTTCAAAAGCTATGTTATCAGGTTTCCAATTCTTGATCATGCTTATAACTTTAATGGCACCTGAGCATAACGAAGAGAATGAATCATTAGAAATAGCAATGTCCAACCTATTAATCGTCCCATTCGCATTAGTTGGCATTTTATAACATGAACAGATTAGACAATGTGAACTACCTGTAAAACAAATATTAACATTTCAAATTAAATATAAATTTTATAAAATATAAGATAATAGAATTATGTTACAGTTTTTACAACCATATATGTATATATGCAATTTATTAAAAAAAAAAGAAAATTACAAAATTTCTACATAAATTAAGTCTCTTAATAAGTAGGTAAAGCCTGTTTCATTCAAGTGCACAGCGTTATTCTATTCCAACTTATTAATTTTTCCAAAAAAAAACTTTTCAACTATATTTTTGTTAATAACAATTAACAGTTTACAGATACAGAACCAAAAAATATTTAAGAATTTTTTATAGCTTTTAAACTATCCACCTCAATTTTATAAATTGCTACTTTTATTTATTACAAACATTTTATTCATCTATATATTAATGATTTTCTTTTCCTAAAACCAATTCTTTTTTTCAATCATTCACTATTGAGAACTTAAAAAGACCAAAATTTAAAATAATTTGAAATAAATTGATCAATTAAAACTAAACATAAAAAAATTCCATGGCGAGTAGTTATACTTTATAAAAAAAAAATTAAATACTTCCAATTCAATTAAATGTAGATAATAAATAAATATAAAGAACATTTCATGTATCAATGAAATATGAATCAGAATAATATTTTACAAATCAGAAGAAGATAATGGAGATGGGATGGTCTAAACAGTTAAGAGTGTCTAAAATTGCTCATAAAAAATTTTCTTCAATTCTTACAAGCTTAAAATAGCCATTTTAGGTTGTTTTTTTTCTGCTTTTATAATTTTTATTTGCTAGCTGAGTTGTCATGGACCCTTTATATGTGCTTTATCTCTGCAGTACTTCTAGGAAAATGAACATTTCAGACCCAGAAATAATTTTGCCTCAATTATGAAATAAACCTTTACAATTTTCCGTTTGAATTTCATTTTTAATGTATAACTAAACATTTATACATTCTTCATTTTCAATTGAAAAAAAAAAACTATCTGGCACAGAGCCCTGTAGAGTCCTAGAAATGTATGGCTCGGAACAAATGCCATGTTTGCTAAATCCTTAGGATAGCTCTACTTGACGGATAATAACAAAAATTTTTAGAAACTTTTTTTTGCTGTTTTTCCAACAGAAAATAGAGGGAAAAGTGCTAATTTCGATACCTTACCTTCAAAATTTTTATTTTGTCATTGGTATTCAAATCCTATTTGAGACCAACAGAAATATTAAACAATTTTAGGACTTGTACTTCAAGATATTATGCAGGTTTTGAACTCAGATAATACATTGCACACATGAGAGATGGGTTTAAGCCTCCATAAGTGAGTAACATAATTTTAATACAAAATCACTAATATTAACAATTTACAGAAAAGAAAAATACATTGATCAGTGTTAAATCTACATTTATATATATAAAAAAACTACGCAGAAACATGCACAAAAACATAAGGCACCCAAGCAAACGTAAATCAACACAAGCAAATCAATTGAGGCACATCACAATTGTAAGAAGCATAAAAACAAGTAGCGAGCATGAAGAAACAGCTTCATAAAAAAATGTTTACGTTTAAATAAAAGCCAAGTATTCTTTAAAGTCAAGGTACACAAATAATACTTTTAATAAAAATAATTCACGAAATGTAAAATTTTTAATCAAGAAAAACGTTTTACAAAATTTTATAACCTATTAGATTTGACGCTTCTCATCAGTCGTATGTACACTGAAAGGCAACTATAATAAAATTAATCAGTGGTAATAGTGGTTTTATTACAATACGAAATTGTACAGTAAATTTATTTATTTAGCTGTTTTTATTGAAGAAAATCCGGCAAAATCACGGCTGCGCGCAGAAAAGAATCATGTTATTGCCAGTTTCAGATTTTCACTATTACCATTATTTTGGTTTGCACTGTCTCATTTTCTTTCAAATGTAGCATTTAAATAATTAATGTTAAGAATGAATTAATTTTGAAAATTTATATAAAAAATTTTCGAATAACAACTTTCTGAAAAAAAACGAAGATTAAAAAGAAACAGAGTATTATTTAAACAAAAAAAGTTAGTCGGAAGTCATCTTTTTCTGCTGGAAAAGATCGAGAAAACAAAACATAAACAAGCAAACGATATTGATAGTCAATTTCGTGCAGAAATCTTACTTAGAAGTGAATATCTGATACATTTTAGTGTTAGTGAACATTTCTTTCGAAATGCAATTTAAAATTCAAATTGATTGGGTTATAAACTCATCCGATCTTCTACCTAATCAATGGTTAAATAAAAAATTAGGTTACGTTTGTAATGATTTCTGGTGTTTTAAAATATCTAAGAAACCTCGCAGGAAATTAGATGGTGTTATTTACGCGATAGAGCGAAAGAAAGCTGTTACTGGTATGAGGATTAGAGTTAAACTTCAATTTAGTAATCCTGGTACTAAACTCATAACAAAATGTGTTAACACATTTCATGGTTCAAATACTACACTAATAGGCCGTTTGGAACATTTTATTCCAGAAATGTTTAATAGTATGAAAAAAATTCAGATTACGGGAGAAATTTATTTTCATGAATACGGGAATTCTTCAACTTTTGATATGCTATCCACTGATTTCAGTCAGTTGTGTTGCAATCAGAGATTTTCAGATGTCATAATAAGATGTGGTTTGGAGGTATTTCCTGCTCATAAAAATATTCTTTCAGCCAGAAGTTCTGTATTTGCTGAAATGCTAGGAAACACTCCTAATGATTCAAAACTTAGTATTAATGACCTTGAACCTACTGTTATGAAAGCTGTTCTTTTATATATTTATTCTGGTAAAACTGATTTAACGACTTTCCAATCAACATATGATCTTCTTAGTGCAGCTGACAGGTTTTGTTTGAATGAGTTAAAAATTATAGCTATTAATTACATTAAACGTTCGCTAACTGTTGAAAATGTTTTTGAATGCTTTTATGAATGTAAAGCATTACAGTCTTATGCTTTAGAATTTATGTCTAAGAATTTCTCATTAGTCAAAGATACTAAACAATGGGAAGAATTCAAACAATGTAGACCAGACCTAATAACTCAGCTGCATGAACAGAGCAGAAAATTTTTTAAATGAATATTTATCATTAGAAATATTAGGTAAACTATCTCTCGAAATGAAACAAAAAACTGATCTTATGATTGTAGTAGGATTATGCCAAAGGAATGGTAAGCTGCAATCATATAGGACTGTTAAAAATCAATTTAATTTATAAATTATTCAAGTTGAATAAATTTTGGAATTGTAACGATTTGTGATATTTTGTAAATTTAAATTTATTATAAATTATATTTCAATTCAGTAAATTAATAATTTAATTACATGTTTTGTTATGTTTTCCTATGTTGCATATTCATAAGTTTGTAATAAAGAATTTGTAAGTATTATCATTGTCTTCTTCAAAATTTCGTTACAAGAAATTTAAATTTCCTGTTAATAAATATGTTTTGATTTTTCCAGGGCTGTTAAAACCCAAGGAACAAACATGCACATTAGCTAATAAAACACGTTGGGTCAAGTTGTGCAAAAATTATTTAACATCAAATGAAAAGATTTATTCAAGCTAAAAAAAATAAACAGAAGTCTGAAGATTAATTTTAAGAAAATAATCTATAGATTAACTATTGAATCTTTTAAGGTTGTTTAATGTTTCAGTGTAAAAAAATATCAAATAATTAATTATATTTGAGAACGTTTTTCGTGGATTATGGAGAAATACATTAGGATATTTATAACATTTTTTTGACAAAACCTAGAAAAATTGAGTAATAGACCTGCAAAACTACCAGGTTCGTGTAAAGTAATAAGTAGGTTGTTTAAAGTAAATAATTCTAATGTTTGTCTAATGGATTTTATGATATTTTTCCTTCTGTTTTTAGGTCGTTTTCTAAGGTCTTTCCTAATGTTTTTTAATCTGTGCTATCAAATTTATTATATTTTTACTGTTGTTTGTACCCAGACATTTGTAGTCAAAATAACCATTTAACCTTGGAAAAAGTTGTTAAATAAAAGTTTAAAAAGAAATTATTTACTTTTTTTTTATGAAATTCTGAAAATTTTATCTATTTTTAAAGAGATTAAAACAAAAATTTATAAATTTTTTTGGTAATTTTTTTAGAATATTTTATATTTATTTAAACAAAAAACAGATCTATTTATATGGAAAGTTGACGGAGGTGCAATTTTTGATGCAGATAAATTTGGTGCTTCTATGTTATGAGTTCCTAATATATATGATTATGTCCCAAATTTGGTAAAGTTAGCTTGTTGACTTGCCAAAATTGAAATAGTAATAGCTGACCTACTTGTATTGCTAACTTATGACATTGAATTCAGTAATTTAGCAAAGAATTTTGCACACTTACATTTCAAAAATTATTTTTTAAAAAAATGAAACGAGGAATGTGAACTTTAACATTTCAAGACTATTTATACTAACAACTAATTTCAAACAAATTTAAACTGTACTAAATTAACTACTTTAATAACTATTATTTTTATTTACTTTTAATTGTAATTTATAGTGTTTTAAAGAGAAAGCTGTTTTTAAATTAATACTTATTTCATTACTATTTTAGACATTATTATAAAAAGTCATGAATAGTAATAATAATGGCACATTTTTTTCTATGTCTTAGAATATTAATTTGTCCACTTTAATTAATAGATCATTTGTAACAGATTAATCATAAGAATAATAAAAAAGAGTGAAAATGGTTATGATTTTTACATTCTGAAATTTAATTTTAATGCTTAGGCTGGTTAAAATTAAATGTTCTTTAAAGGACTATGACTTGTATGTCAAAGGTAAGCACACAATTCTGAAATACACACACTATTGAAATAAAACTTTTCATCCAAACAATTCAATAAAATTTTATTTAACTTTTTACTCAATCTTCTTTTTTATTACCAATATTAATACAATTTATCTAAAATTATGAAATAAGTAGATTAAGGCTGAAATTCAAATTTCTACAATATACTTAAAAATATTTTTTAAGAAATCAAATTCTTACTAATACTCACAATTTTTTAAATAAAAACTGACACAAAAAAATCAAAATTGCAAATTTCAGTTATTAATGTTTTTAAAATTATAGCTTATTGTGCAGGTATTCTAAATTATTTAATTCTTATTAAGAAAAAACGAACAAAAAAAAATGCCAAGTAAACTCCCTATTAAAATCTAAAAAATAAATGAAAATTCATTTAAAATTTGAAAAAATAAGTAATTTCTTATCATTCAGTTTTACTCTACAAAGCTAATATTTTGAACACAAAACAGAATGTATTAATAACCATCTAAACATTTCTAACTAGATTATTTTAACTTATTCCTAATAATATTAATAACAATCATGAATTCACTCTTAAGTTTTAAAATTTTTTATTTTTACTAACAATGTTCTTATTGTCAAATAATATGTTTTTATTGTACAAAATCTAAAAAAGAAACGAAATAGGTATAACCTAACCCAAATAAATTCTTAACTGTTCTGTAGAGAAGAATATCCTTTGTAACCTGGAAGTTATAATTTATTCAACAAGAACCATCTATAGTACTTTATTGGCACTTTTTGTTCTTGGAACAATAATTACATAAAATTTGGGGTGTTCTGGACATGCACAAAATGATTTGTAAAGCAAAATCAAATATGTATATAGGTATGAATTACTGTGTTTTATTTATTTTTTTAAATTTTTATTATCCTAAAAATTATTACTTTTTAATTTATTTAAACAACTATTTATTTACTATTATTTCATTTATTTAATAAACAAATCTATCTTACAGTTTCTATAACTATTATTTATGATTTTTTATTTATTAATAGACATTTTAATAAGTAAGCATAATTAATTTACAATCAACATATACTTTTTATAAAAACAGATAAAATTTAATATAATATTATTAATTTAATATTATAACTGTTTAACAATTCTTAATAATCCTGTATATTTTACTCTTATCAGAATTAAGCTATGCCAAATTATGCTCTTTTCCGCCTATATCTATATAGACTTTTAGTTCTGGTGCTAAGAAAGTTAAATTAAGCTCACCTTATGTGTTATTTTGCTACCACTTTTAGTATTGTATAGGGAACTTTTTCTTATGGTTTAGTATACATATAAATCAAAGATTTAAATAAAGAATGTGATAAACTTTTAGTGACGTAGAGAAAGTAGAAAGTTTCAGTTTTTAAAAAGTTCATGACTATTTAAAAACGTTTGTCAGCCGAATTCTTACTTCACTATCACTCTTAAATGCTGTAGACTATCGAGAGATTGATTGGCAATAATCTCGGGAATTGAAAATTAGATTTCTCAATGTTTATTCTCACTTTTATGTCTAATAGACGATAACACGTGATATGCGGTGAAAAGAATTTTGTACAGAAGTACCGTAATATCGTTTCGAATTTCTCGTCTCTGCGAAAAAGAAATCGTAATTTAAAATAATGCTGCAAAACTAAGCATCAACTGCCAAAAGCGCGGAGCTTTGCAAAAGAGATTATGCTTACGTACAATAACTTTTAAATTCGCCAAAAAAGATTTTTTTCTATTGATTGATTGAATTGAAATGAAGTGCCTCTCAAAAGTGTTCCTACATTTTTAATATTTGTAGTAGAAGACAAGTAACTTAAAATTATTTAGAAAATGAATTCCAATATTTTTTCATATTATCTCTATGTGATTCTATATAAAACTTCACCTTTCGTCTCAAAAATTGACTGATTTTTTTTTTTTTTTTAGGGAAAAAATAACTCGGAGTGAGAACTTGCCATAAATGTTCTTATGCACTGAAATATTTCGGTATAAATTCAAAATTTAATTTATCGTCTGGTGCTTTATTTATTTATTTTTGGTTTTTATTTATTAATTTAATTCAGCATAGTGGCACTTAAAAAATCGTTTGACTTTAAGTTTTTCTTGCTTACTTCGCAATATTCTATTTTTTGTTTACTTAACCCTTTAATGGGCCATTTATTTCTATAAAGGCAAGTTAAAGTACTTTTGGAATTGAAATTGTTTTAAGAATAGTAATTGATATAAGAAAAACAAAACTCAATTAGTTTATAAAAATGCCAATTTTTTGGCAGTAAATATATTTCATATGACCAATTAAGAATTTATTGACTTTAATTTTTCTTTATTAATAAAATAAATTATATAAATGCTATAAACTTAAAAAGGAATTATGTATTTTATAACTTTTATACGTTTTTTTAAACTAACAAATGGTTACCATTTTATTCAAACGCACTTCAAGAAAGCTGAAGTTATTAACAAATGGAAACCTAAATTGAAAGTGGTGGGAAGTATACTTCCCACGACCTTCGAAAGGGTTAAAATGATTCGTAGAGGTAAAAAAGCAAAGTATGTCATTATTTTTTTTTCTCATATTAGTGGTAAATCAGTTCGGAATAACGCAAAGCTCTATCCCATTTTATTGTGCAGTATGTGGTTAAACGCTTTAAAGAAGAAAATAAGATCAAAAACAAGGTAAAAAAGTAAAACGTAATTAGAGATTTTTAGTTCGAAAATTTGTAAAAAAAATCCGCGTTTGAGAAACTGTTGGACGAGAACCTGAAACTGTTCGACGAGTTCTCAGAGCAGCTGTATTATTTGGACATTCCACCATTAAACTTTTTTTTAGTGCGAAAAACATATAGCTTAAGCTTTCCTTCAAAAAATTGATGTTAAATAAACACAAAACTTATTTGGAAGATGTCTTATTTGCTAATAAAAGCAAATTTAACGTTTTTGGTTCCTATGGACGCATAAAATTGTATGGAGAAGAAGAATTGAGGAACTTTAATCCTAAGAGCTTTTAGTTGGAACAGTATAGCGTTTCTTTGTGTGGGTTGCATATCATCATCATCAAGACTAGGTTATTTAGTATTTATTGATGGTATAATGAACCATGCTGTTTATTTAAATATTTCAATAGACAATTTAGATTTATCCGCCCAAAAGTTAAGTTTTAAAAACTGTTTTGTTTTATACCCTGATAACGATTTGAAGCATTCGACTCTCGACATTCGTCTCTGGCGTCAATAATTGCTCGA